ATAAGAACCACTGCCGTTGTTCCTTGCTAATGTGCTTAGAACTGCAAAGCGCTACCAGCGTATTGCTGGAGCCAGATTGACACCTGCATCCTGTGAACCTTTTGGAATGCTGCGGAAAAGAAACCTTTCATGAAAGCCTTATGGCTCAACATTTTGGAGGACAACCAAAACCATGAACACCTGTGTCCAGAAAGGTTGCTTTGGCATCATCTTCAGATAAAGAGCACATACTTCAGTTATGTGCCTGATGTTTTTTGAATCATCAGTCAGTTACCATCAGACTGATATAATGGCTGCAGTAGTGTAACTCCTGCTGAGTCATGTACTGTGCCCATGTAGGAAGTAAAACAAAATGGATTGCCTGCTTGCTGCTCCCAGGGGAGTGTGTGGAGAAAGCTGAAGGCAGAGCAGCGTGTTGTCAGCTGGTTTCTGCAGTTACGCTTCTGTAGCAGAAGGCAATGTTGAGTGCTTGAAAGCCTCTGAAAATAAAGGCACACCAGACCGTTCTCCCATCCAAAGCTGAAAATAAATAAGACCATAAATTGGACTCTGGAATGTGTGAAACCTTTTTCAAAGTGTGAAATTCTGTATTGGTTTTAACTACCAAATTTATTAATACTGGGGATTTTGCAGTCGTACATCCAAATTCCCAGCTGACTGAGATCCTGTTACGACAGATACCAAGTTGCAGATACTTCATAAAATATGATTTGTCTTCAGCTATTCACATCACAAATATAAAGTTGAAAAGAAACAAGATGAGCAGCAGGGGAGGAAGAAGATGGTAAAAAAGCAGCAGCGCTAGTGGTGGGCACATGGGTGGTAGTAGCTGGGAGGTTTGCAGTGGTGGTGCCAGTGATGGGGAAGGGGACTGTGAGTCTGTGGGTTTGCTTTGGTGAAGAGGATTGTGTTACCCTGGGGCTTCCTGGTTTTGTTTTCTGCTTTCGTGAAGGAGAGAGTATCCTGTCTTTGCAGAATATGGCAGTGCCTCCAGGTGATTTCAAACAGGCAGGAGGTCAAGGTCAGCAACAATGAGGAGAGAGAAGTGGTTGTTATTAGAAATTTCTACAGTAGAACTCATCCAATTGAAAGAAAAAGCAGCTATTTCCCAGGGAAACGCGACGCATGTAAGAGGTCTACTTGCTGGTGAAGCACATACTCATTCACCCTGCCCTGCTCTCCTCACTGCCAGCTGTGCTGAGGAGCATCATCAGAAAGTTGGGATCAATGGAAATTATCTTTCCCCTGTAATTTTCAGAAAGCAAAGCTGCAGCAGTGGCTCAGTTGTACAGCACTCTAGACAATGCTGTATTTGTTTGACAAAATAAATGGTGGGATAGCACAATAGGATATTGTGTTTCGTACCAGAATGGGGAAAAAAAACCAACCCAAACCTTTAAAATAGCCTAAAAATACTGCAAGGGGAGGTCGCAGAAAAGGCACACTGAGAATAGATGGTCTGTGCAGAAACCAAAAGATGAACAGGGTAAAGAGTAAAGTAGGAAATACTCTAAAAGGAGAAGCGGAGAACAAATTGAAAGAGAAATAAATGTGGAATTGTTGAACATGTTGAAGAATTAATTTAGTAAAATAAGAATTTTACTTTTGGTATCGCATTTGCATACATAATTTAAATTTTACTGTGGACTTAGTAAGAAGTAATATAAAGATTGGATTGTGTTTTTCATGTGATTTCAAAATACTTAAAGGCTGGGGATTATCTGTAGAATCTTTCAGAGTGAGAGTGCTGTGCACTTCAGCACTGTTTGCAGGGATCATCCCTTGATCGCAGTCTGCCAGGTTTTCTCAGCACATGAGGAAAAAAAAAAAGAAAAACGAAAAAAAGGAACCCATCAGTTTACCACCAGGGAGTCTTTTTAGCACTTACTATTTAGTGAATCAGTAAGCTGAAGTGCTTCTGGAGATGCTGGTTTTTTTGGAGCTCCCTATAAGACCGTCAGCTGAAGCAGTTGATTATCTTGCCATCCTTACTACTAGAAGCCCTTGCTGGTGAAAGCAGATAAGAATCTCACGCCCATAACAAGATTTTTGCAGTGGTAGTTTGGTAGGGCCAAGACTTTTTGTCTGCAAAACCTGAAGGGTAACATATTGGGGAGATCAGTTGTGCATTCCGCCAGATATCTGAGGGCTGTTAGATGGCTTTTGCTCTCCGTGGCCTTCGTGCGTACTGCTGCTCCACAGTTTGGATGTGTGGACTAATGAGTAAGAGTTACAAAATCTGAAAGGAATTAAGCTGTAACATATTGAGTAAATGGTTTAATTTGTGAAAAGTATGGTCTTAAGGTGGTAACCAGGCCAGGGTACACGTTGTAAAGCAGTGTGAGGTGCTGATGGAGGCACATTACTGGAATTTGATTGTATCACACACAGTATCACACACAATATGCTAGAGATTGGAAGGGACCTCGAAAGATCATCTAGTCCAATCCCCCTGCCGGAGCAGGAACACCTAGATAATGTTACACAGGAATGCGTCCAGGCGGGTTTTGAATGTCTCCAGGGAAGGAGACTCCACAACCTCCCTGGGCAGCCTGTTCCAGTGTTCCGTCACCCTCACTGAGAAGAAGTTTCTTCTCAAGTTTAAGTGGAACCTCTTGTGTTCCAGTTTGTACCCATTACTCCTTGTCCTATCATTGTTTGCCACTGAGTAGAGCCTGGCTCCATCCTCGTGACACTCCCCCTTTATATATTTATAGACACTAATAAGGTCACCCCTCAGTCTCCTCCAAACTACAGAGACCCAGCTCCCTCAGTCTTTCCTCATAAGGGAGATGCTCCCAGTCATCTTCGTTGCCCTGCGCTGGACTCTCTCCAGCAGGTCCCTGTCCTTCTTGAACTGAGGGGCCCAGAACTGCACACAATATTCCAGATGGGGTCTCACCAGGGCACAGTAGAGGGGAAGGAGGACCTCTCTCGACCTACTAACCACCCCCCTTCTAATACACCCCAGGATGCCATTGGCCTTCTTAGCCACAAGGGCACAGTGTTGGCTCATGGTCATCCTGTCGTCCACTAGGACCCCCAGGTCCCTCTCCCCTACACTGCTCTCTAACAGGTCGTTTCCCAACCTATACTGGAACCTGGGGTTGTTCCTGCCCAGATGCAGGACTCTACACTTTCCCTTGTTATATTTCATCAAGTTACTCCCTGCCCAACTCTCCAGCCTGTCCAGGTCTCGCTGGATGGCAGCACAGCCTTCTGGCGTGTCAGCCACTCCTCCCAGCTTAGTGTCATCAGCAAACTTGCTGACAGTACACTCAATTCCCTCATCTAAATCGTTGATGAATATATTAAATAATACCGGTCCCAGTACTGACCCTTGAGGCACTCCACTAGTTACAGGCCTCCAACTAGACTCAGCCCCATAGACTACAATTGTAGCTACCACTTGAATCTTCTTGGACATGTCCCTTGCAACCCAAAGCACTGCATGGTTCTGTGAGCTCCAGGGATGAATATGATCATGAGTAATTCTTTATTTTTTTTTTTTCCCAATACTATAATCATAATGAATTCAGAGGCAGCCTCCATTCATGGTTTTTAGAGCTCTCTGTTAGCATTGACTGTGAGTCGTATGGTGATTGAAGGAGAATATCTTCAGTTAAGGACCAGCTGTCCTAGTATGTCCTCACAGGCATCCCACTCTTCTTTCTTTTCTAATTTGAAAGGATTTTTCTCTTTTTTTCATTGTTTTCCAATCGATATTAGTATTTTACTTAAAATGCTTCCCAGTCTACTACGAACAATGTAAATTCACAGAGGGAACAACTTTCTTGTACACACAAGTTCTCCACCCAAAAAAGCCTTTATTGCCTGATTTGTGTTGCTAAAGCCAAGGGGTCCAGAGCTGAAGATTCTCACTGGTTTAATAATTACTAATTGTTTGTTTAATTCTTAGTAAATATTCATAAATGTTAGTAATTGCTAGCTACTGATTTCTATTAACTGTAACTGTATGTGTAACTCTTGTCCTGGGTAGCCTTGCCTCCTATTTAAATCGGTGTTAGTCTGAATTTTAATTTGAATGTGCATTAAGAATTGGTCCTAATTCCACTTTGGAATGTCTTACAGGAGGAGTAAAAAAGTTACATAGAAGTAATTAGCCACTAGGTTACACATACATGGACTGTTAGTGAGTTAGATCGGAAAAACAGGACTGCCAAGTGATTTCTCTCATAAAAGCGTTAACTGGCCTCCCGCATTACTGGCGTCACTTCAGTGGATGCAGTAACATTTCAAGACTTAATTTTGTAAGTCATCTTCAGACTTAACGTTTTAAGTGCCTGATTCAGGGCAGCTGTTGATTTTTGTGTGTTTGGCAACACTTGTCCCCAGCCTTTCACCTTTCCTTAGATGATCCCGGCATAGCTGCTCCCAGGATATTAGTTAACACAACCAAGCGAACTTGTGAAAGAAAATAAAGAAACAGGTTGTTCCGATCTATTCTAACACCGTGGTTCACCTTGGCTTTGCCCGCAGCAAACAAAACAGTTGCAAGTTGTCTTTCAAAAATCCTTCGCAAAGGATGAGGGGAGGGGGCATAGCACCAGCATCCTGGTGAGTCCCATAGACAGGAATGAGTGTGGAGCAGCAGCCGCTGAGTCTGGGCACCAGGTCCTCTGTTCCCCCCTGCCCTCCCCTCAAAACACAATGCCTGTGTTCAGAAGTCATTGTAAGTATAAGAAATCCCTTAATTGGATATGATTGCCCCTTGATTTATTCCTGGTAGAAACACCAGACATCATCTTCATCTTACATGCTTTTGTTAAAACTCTTTCATTTTTTGATATTATAGCACAAAAAAACCCGCACAAAACTTGTTCGTGTGTGTACTAATTTCTTGGGTACAGCAGAATGTAGCTGGATATTTCTGATTATTCTAGTACAATGCTTTTTTTTACACTTTTCTGTTATCTGATGCATGCATTACCCTGCTGTCCAGAATGGTCAACTCATTTTGTCATTCTTTTCAAAAACAGAAATCACCTGCAAAGAAGCTGAGCCATGCAATTAGTAAATCACTCGGTTGCGTACCCAGTAGAGAACCACCTCGTCCTGTATTTCCTGAGCAGCCAGAAAAGCCACTTGATCTTGCACATATAGTGTGAGTATCTATTTTGTTTTATTTTTCACTTTATCAGTGATACAAAGCAAGGTGCTCGTGGCTGTATTTGACTTTGGAATAGGCTAGCCGAGAGAAGCACTTGAAGGGGAATTATCAAGTTGCAGTGCTGTAACTGTTAAAGGTGTTTCTCTGAAAAGTGATTGGAAGCATATTGTTTTTATAAGAATACATTGCTAACAAGAAAAGAGAACTAGAATATGTTTGTGTGCAGTTAGACTAAGGCCTGATTCTATATTCTACTTGCATCCTCTAGCATTTCAAAGTACCATTCTTACCTTTTGCACACCGTATTGGATCAGACTAGTTTCTCATTTACTGTAGATTAAAATCATATAAGCAAAACAGTGTTGAACATACTTATTTGCAAATTAATGTTGCCTAGTATTAATAGTAGCAGGATTTAGCTTGTTGTTGCTGCTGCTGCCTGAGAGCAATGGCTTTACATTCTTACTTGTCTCACTGAGAGGTTTTCTGAGTTTCTCTGCGCAGCAGCATCGTTGTTACCTTTTCATTCTGACCCTACTGTCAAACCCATGGAATGATTTTAATGAAATTCCATTGTACTGGTGTTGGTTTGAATCAGTCTGCTTCCCCAGTTTGTCAGTTTTCACATCAGAAGTAAAATCTGAGACAACAAAACCCAAACAAATTCTGTTACTGTATGTGCGAGATAAACTAAACCTCCAAATAGATCTGTTTTAATGTCCTACAGAGTCCTGAGAAGAAGCCTTTTTGTGTATCTCAGTTTAAGCACGTGCTATAGAGAAGAGTAAGGAGAGAGGAGTAAAACAAAGAGATATAATTTCTGTAAAATGGAGGACTCCCATTTTCACAAGTATTGAGTAATCTATAGTTCTAAGAGTAAGTGGAACTGATGCTCTTCTGGCATTCCTTCAACATCATTAATACCAGATTCATTCTTGAGCTGTTTCCTCTGGCACACTTTCTGAGTGAAGAACTGAGCTGTTCAAATCTGAATGTCTTCTAACCTCTGACAGTTCAATATCATGATGTGCTGCTTTGGCATTTTCTGTTGCCATCTGATTTGGATTGACTGGCTCTTCTGTACGCTCCTTTTAACAGTTGTGGCAGTCGTTAAGAGAAAGCTGGAGGCTAGCTTGTCAAAGTATTGCAAAGGTGAGAATTGTGAAGCTTATTGTAGTGTGATAAAACACTGGTGTTGGCTTTCTTTTGTGAAAAGCATAGATGACGTGTAACTTGACATGGCAGAGTAGTTGCAACGCTGAACTCCTTAACCACATAGTTCTGAGCTTTACCAATTTCTGCTTAGCTGTGTGATTGTTTTCTGCAATTCTTGCATCACTGAATATTTATAAACTTTTATGCTTGGTGTAGTTCTGTGCAGTGAGGGGAGATGATCTGATTTAATGCAATAGAATTGTGCTGATTTTCTCTGTGAAATTGCACTCTTAAAAAAAACCCAAACCAACCAACCAACCAAAATTCTTGTTATGCTGCTGTTCAATCCAGAGCTGAAGTCTGGGCTCTGCTGTAAATGAATGGCTTATCAAGCCCACTGGACAGGGTTGTACACTGTCCACGGAATCAGCCCCATGCCTTAGCCAGGATGTGTCATGGAGCTTGTCACTCGCCTTTACTTCTGGATTTTCTGTAGTAAGGGTTCAGCCTCACAAAAAAAACATTTCTTGTTTAAAATCTTATCAGCTCATGAATCTGTTCACATTTTTTCTTTTTAGATTTTTTTCTGTGCTGCTTCCACGTTGAAATCCATGAACATTCACAAGAGAAAATTAGCAGTTTACAATGTACTACTTCTATTTAAAAAAAAATAAAAATATGTAATTGCATAAGTACAGTGTATTGAAAACAATTCCAGCAGTGGCACTGTACCCGCCTGCATTAAGGAGGGCTGCAGAACCTGATCCCAAAACTACGAGCCAAAGTTTTTCTTCTGACAGAGATTCCCAAGTTTCTTTCTCTTGCTAGGACACATTAATTTATTAATGGATCAAAGAAGTTTCAGTCCTCAGCTGGACAGAGAAAGGTGAAGACAGAATTAGGTGGCTTACTTTTGTATTTTGTATTTTTAATACATGACCCATTAAAGGTGCTTTTAGAGAAGCTGTTTTTTGTTTCCAGTTGGTAACAGCCTCTGCTTCAACTTACAAAGACAACATTGCCTTTTTCCTGTGCCCAATCGCATGAGGTAGCAAGGTGGGAGCTGCTAGGGAGATGCTAGTGGGGTTCTACTGGGCAGAAGGGAGCTGTAAGGCACACTGGGTAGCCTTGCAGGAGCATATGGCCCTGGGGACATGTGGGTAGGGGTATGGTGCAACATCCTCTGCAGTCACTGGGACTGCAGCCTGGATACTCCTGGCAACAGCAGGACAACTTGGATACATCTGCTAATGCTGCCAACTTTAATTTAAAAAAAAAAAGTGCCCTAAGAAACCAAAGTATTGGGAAATTCTGCCTAATACTACAAGGGCAACTCCAGGAACAACCAATAATGGTCTGATGTAAAAATAATGTAAGTAAATTATTTATGTCATACACTAAATCACATTAATATAATGAGGTCTCCAGGGAGACCTTACTGTGTCCTTAAGTAATACCTTAAGGGGGCTGACAAGATATCTGGTGAGGGACATTTACAAGGGCATGTGGTGACAGGACACAGGGAATGGCTTTAAACTGCCAGAGGACAGACTTAGATGAGATTCTAAGACGAAGTTGTTCTCTGTGAGGGTGGTGAGGCCCTGGAACAGGGTGCCCAGAGAAGCTGTGGCTGCCCTGTCACTGGCAGTGTTCAAGGCGAGGTTGGACAGGACTTGGAGCAACCTGGTCTAGTGGAAGGTGTCCCTGCCTGTGGGAGGGGGGTTTGGATCTGGATGAGTTTAAAGGTCCCTTCCTACGAAGCCATTCTATGATGAAAATATAATTAACATAGGACAAAAAAGACCTACTGTTTTTTTTATAGAAGTGATAACCTTTAGAGTTTTCTGTATAAGAGATACAATGTAAAACAAATAAAAAATTTATTTTTTTTTGTTTAAGAGCAGACAATCTCCCTCCCCCCTATTTTTTTAAGTGTGAAAAGTAACATAGCCAGTGGTGATTTTTTTTAATAGAACTTAACTCATAAAGAGGAATCACTTAGGGCCACAATGAGTCACCGTTTAGGTGTCAGTGGTCATGACTTGATTACATTTGTTTCATGTAAACAAGTTATGCATCAGCATCTAACACGGGCTTTGGAAGAGATTGTCTCACAAAGCTGGAACCAACTTCAGCTGAGTAAATAAACTAAAATATTAATAACTAGGAGCAGTTTAAGGATACGTGGCCGAATGTTCCAGGGAAAGAAGGCTTGGAAGGGAAGAAAAAACAGCTTTAGTCATCAAGGGAAGGAGAAAACACAACAACTGATAGTGAAGAATGTAAACTGATGGTTTACAAGTTACTGGGGAATGATTTCCAGGTTTTGGTCTGGCAGGGGGCTGCAGCTGTGCAGTGTAGTGACAGAGCAATTCTGCCTTCCAGAGATAATGCAAAAGGATGTATGACTGCACTGCCTATGTTCATGGCCCAAACTGCATTTTGAAAGAATTTCTTAATTTGGATACTTACTGCTGGTTGTTGATATGTCTTGGAGCACTGGAAGAGAATTCATATGATCTCATTTCTTTTTCCAAGGCAGCAAGGGGGGTGTGTAGGGAATGGAGTCAAACAGGGCAATCTCTGACATGTTGTATTTACCAACAGGGCTTGGATGGTGAATAAAACAACAGAGCAGTAGATATTTTGTTGATCAGTAAATAAAAAGGTAATTCCTGCCAATCAAGCATAGGCTTTGGGCAATGTGGTGTAGTCAGACTCAGCTGGTATTTTTTTTTTATGAGATTAGTTTTGATTAATAAAGCGATATTGTTGGCATAATGCATTTAATATGAGCATTGAATAATTTGGAAAATAATAATCAATACAGCACATAGACAGAAGATTGGAAAAAGAGTTGTTTTGCTTATTGTACTCAATACGAGTGGGAAAGAAAGGTCACTGAGTAGGGATGTTCTCAAGCCGAGTCCTGCACTGTTCAAGCCTTGTTTCTGTGCTCTTAACGTTGGTTTCCATGACCAAGAGGAAAAAGTGTACAGTCATTGCTGATAGGCTGGATGGGCAAATGAGAAAAATATTGGTGGACTGGCAATGAAAAGGACAGTAAGCTGTGCAGAATGACTTGAAAAACATTTGGAGGGCATGGTATGCACTTGGTTGAATGTGTGATGTCCGGGCAATTTCGTAACCAAGGATGCTCACAGGACCTGCGTGCCAGGAGAAGAGGTGACCCTCTGTACTGGGTGGTGACAGGGCCCTGGGCAGAAAATGCTGCCCTTATCGCACCTGTAATCAAGCCAGGTGTTGAAAGGCTAAAGGGTTTGAGAAGGTTGATGAAAATTATTAAAGAACTGGAAATAGGTATGGGAAGATGCATAGCTTTACATCGAAAGGCTCCACTAGTGCAAGGGTAACACACAGAGGTTAAGGAATGATATTACTAAAAATATCTATCCTAGAGAAATTAAATGTAATCCCAGGGTGCTTTAGCAGATAGGCTTAACAAAAGGCTCAGACCAACAGCTGAAGCTAGACACATTCCGAATAAAAATAAGAGCTGTATTTTTAATAGTGAATGTAAGTAAATAATTGTTAGAATTATAGAATCCTAGAATGGTTTGGATTGGAAAGAACCCTACGATCATCTTGTTCCAACCCCCTGCCATGGGCAGGGACTTCTTACACTAGACCATATTGCTCAAGACTCTGTCCACCCCAGCCTTGAACACTACCACCAGGGATGGAGCATTCACAACTTCTCTGGGCAACCCATTCCAGTGCCTCACCACCCTCACAGTAACGAACTTCTTCCTTATATCCAACCTCCTGAACTTTCCCTGTTTAAATGTAAACCCATTAGCCTATGTCCTGTCACTACA